GCTACTGTCCTGATTTTTGAGAAGCAATTCTATGTAAGCAGCATTCTTATGTTATGCTTAGCTAGTGTCTCTGAGGCCCAGGTGCTTAAATCCTTCCACTCAATCTCAGGTGTCAAGAGAGAAAAGCTTCTAGCCCTCATTTACAGCATACCTTTCATGACCCCACCTCACTCTTTGACAACTAAGAAAAAAGATTTTACCCCAAGTTTTCTACCTTTCCACTAAAAAGTATTTATTTTTGAGGAACAAGATGTGTGCTGTTTGGATACTGAGGATGGAAATTCTAGATTTGTAGCAATGCTAACGTCTATCTGAGCCTCACTGTGGCCTAGGTGCATATATATATTTACTAAATGTGAGTGGAGAACTACTGAACTCTGACTTGTCACCATGAATGCATGATGAGAACATTTCATTCCTGAAAAGTTCCAAAAATCTCTCAGATTACAAATCAGATTCAATTCTGTGGACAAAATTTACATTTATGAACGATTTGGACCAAGCAGGGTAAAACGATGAATGTTATTTATAATTTGGTAATTTATGAGCACTGGTATTCAATGAGCTGTTTCCATGTTGAATGGCAAGAAAATATAATTGGGAAGACAGTAAGGAGTGAGGGAGGCAGCCAGCAAAGCCTCCTTCTGCATTAGGTTGTGCACTCTGTGGCCTGATTACAGTTTGATGCACACCACCTTTTAAACCGCGTTCTTTCACAGAACTAGTGAAAGGTAGAGATTCACATTATATCATTTTACCACCAAGATACCATCTGCTATTGAAATATTCCTTTGCCTTGCTTTTCCTCCTTCATCAGTAGTTCAGACTGTCATCCATACTTTCTGAAGTTACAAAAACAAGAGGTTTTTTCTGATTTATTTCTTTGAATAATGACCATAAACACAATTTTTATCTCTTCCCTATAACATAGTAGCATTTCATGTACTGTCTCCACATCATGCTTTGTCATTTCATCTTGATGTATGAAAGAAATTTTTTATAGTAAGGACAATCATTCACTGGAACAACCTCCCCAGGGATGTGGTAGAGTCTCCATCGCTGGAGGTTCTCACGATGCAATTGCACAGGGCGCTAGATAATCTCATCTAGGCTCCCTTTCCCATGAAAGGTTAGACCAGATGATCTTCTGAGGTCACTTCAAACCTGGGCTGTTCCATGATTCTGTGATTAAGAATCTATTAAAATCCACTCTTCTGTCTTGGGCTTTTCAGTGCTTCTTGCCGGTCTCTCAGAATTAGGGTAGTAGCCAAAGCACAACCAGCAATAACTTTTTTTAAGGCTATTTTATCAAAATACTACTTTTGGGTCTCCAGCCAGAACACTTGTCATTCTCTTAGAGTATCTTCTGCAGCTAGATTTAAGACCTCCTTCAAACCTTTCAAAAATAACTCATAAGAATAACATTTTTCTGTGTTACTTAGATGGAAGGGATTCAGAACATATTCCAACCAACAGCCTGTCCTGAGAAAAGGGCTGCTTTTATCTTCTGGCAAATCTTCTTGGTACTACTTTCTGCAACCTGGTTTTGGCTTTCAGATGATAATGATATACAATAATTATCTGTTGCTAGAGGAAAGTGTTAATCTGTGATGGTTTTATTATATTTGCAGCTGTCTTTGTCAACAGCACTTTGTTATCATGCTTACAGAAGTCAGCAGTCTTAAAATGGCTATTTTCCCTCGGAGAAATCTCATAAGGTAGTTTTGGATAATTACTTTTCTCTCCTAATGGATTTCATACACATTTCATGTAAATGCTTCTGGTCGATAACAAACTGTGTTTCTGAGGCAACCAAGAAGATTGTGGGAAAGTGCACTCAGGATGAACCCTGCAGCTCGCTCCGGAGCAAAAGGTGCAGTCGGGTGCTATTAGGCAGCACGTCAAAGCAACTCATTCCTTGGCATGTCTTATTTACCATTAGGCAAGCGTTGGTACACAGGAGAAGTAGCCAACAATGTGGCAAAGATTTTGTCAGTCCCTCTGATGACACATCTGCAGTTTGTCAGCACTGTGGTCACGTTAAGGACCATGCGTGGGACTAACAGCCACTGGAACTTTATTACGATGGGAAGCCCATTTGCATTGAGAATGGATCTCATTGTCATGTCCGTGTCTGTGGCACATCAGGGTTATGTTACAGTTCCCTCTGCAGGGAGATAATAAGGGATTGTGGAGACAACCTCCTTCTCCCTCCCTCCCAAAATAGAGTCGGAGGCCGATACAAAGTAAGGCAGTGTAGTGACTCTGCACTGCGTTTTCTGGGTACGAGAGCTCCCAGTACGTTCACTGGCTGCCTCGTGGGTACAGACCACGAGTGAAGCTGGGACTCTGGTGATGGAAGAAGCCACCTCTCTCCTGATGTCAGGCTGCCACGCGGGAAGTCACAGAGGCAGCGGAGACAGATCTTCATTCCTTTGTTGGGGAGGAGGTGCTTCTCCTGGCCCCGTTCACTCGTGAGTTAAACTTTCTCTATGGGATGGGAGAGCTCCATCGTGTTGCCTTTTAGGATATAATACAAAACAGGTGTTTAGAGAAGGAACTCTTAGGGAGAGTAAAGGAAAAAAAAAACCCTCAAAGATCAGGACTTCATAGGAGAGTAAGTGGGGAAATACTTGTTTTGCCTCCAGTGGTGTTTTTGTTTTGATAGTATTACTTTATCATTGATAGCTGCAGTGCAGATATGTTACATCAGACTAGTCTAATGTGGCCAATTTCTTATCTTAGAGAAGGATGGTTTTGTTATTAAGCAGCATAGAAATAGAATAATTCATATCTGTTCCTGACTTTGCTCACATTTCTCATGGTAGCCTTTTAAGATGCTTAGGATACAAACTTTGCCATTAAAACACAGCATTTCCCTATCTTAAAATGAAAATTATGGCCTTTAATTAGCCAGCATTTGTGAAATGCTTGGGGATCTTGGGGATCAGGTATTACCGAAGTCTTAAATGTTATAATTAAAAAACTATTTGGTTCTCATTTTGTTTTTGCCCGAGCTGTAATTAGACAGGGAGGTTTCCCATTCAGTATGCACACTGACATCTGTTCTTGGTATAAAGCTTCTGGGATTTGGCATATTTTCATCTGCTAAGTGATGAGACAGAATAGCAATCCAGTTTACGGCTCATGAATTTTCCATAGTTTATCTCTTCAGACCCCTGGAGCTGACTTGCGTATTACATGTGACTGTACATTATGAAAGGGTTCTCAACTACATTTGATAAAAGATATGCTAGAGCGGAGGCCAAATTCTTCTCTGAGTTAACGCCTTTAAAATGCACGACAGTAAACAGTATTTTCTCATCGTTGTCTGCTCACACAGCTCCAAGATGTGCAGCAAGCAAACCACAGCATCCACCTTTCTGCAAGCAAGCTCAAGGCTCTCCAGCAGAGCTTACCAACCAAATACGTTGGTAAGAGAGCCTGATTCACATTTGATCTCCAGAAGTGCTGTTGATTTAGTGTTATATTCTCAGCTGAGATATCTATAGACCTGTGAAATGCTGTTTTAGTGATGCTCTGGATGAACCTGGTCTCCTCAGGGCAATTAAACAACTGCTCTGTTACACTTCGGTACAACTAGCATGTGTCCAGAGTGTGTGGATTGACATTTAAGCTGCCTTCAGTCAGCTTTCTTGAAGGAAGAGGCTATTTAGCAGAACACTGAACTTGATGTTACATTTCATCTTCAGTATTTCAGATCTGATCAAGTTTAGTGTTGGTTTAAAAGTTTTAAGATTTGACCCCAAAATTTTTAACCTTCCTGTGATCAACCGAGTGGCAAAGTATTAAACATAATGACCGCACAATCCAAGTAAGCAAAACTTAACTATCTTAAAACAATTTCACAGCGAGTGGCAGATGTGTACAAGCTCAGTGAAAAGTATTTAAGTCTAAAATGCATAACTTCCAGTCACTGTGAATCTCCAGCATGTCATTACAATCCATATTCATTGCAACTCATCGACTCCATCCTAAACATATGAGTCACAATAACGCATGGCATGCTGCCCATTGCTGGTCAGCTGAACTTGCGTTTTAAAACCAGCAAAACAGAAGAAGATACCTTGGAAAGTCACATATGGTAGAAAGCCTCGCTGAAATTAGTATTCAGAGGCAAGGAAACTCAGTTAGCTGTCCCATACTATCTGACACTGCTGTGCCGAGGATCTGCAAACTGGTGCTCTTGCATGTTTTAGGAAGTTCTTTTGATCACTGGACAATTTTTAGTGAATCGACATGAGTTTTAGTGCCTGCTTGTGTAGGTCCGTGGTTCATCCTGGCATCATATATTCCATAGCCTCCTATACAGGCCACCAGGTTTCCCGGTAAGAGGCTGACTGGAGCGGGAAGATGCAGGCCTGAAGCCTGAGCCGTATGCATCTTGTCGTGTCCCAACATGCCTTGTAGAAGGCGGTGTCCTATCTGAAGGATGATTCAGGTGGTTCTTCCTTCTTCTGGAAAAGTGTTGGAGAATATTTCTAATGGGCTTCATTCCCATGACATCTCTTATGCGTGCAATCCATGGAAATTTCAAAGGGTCCAAGTGTGTCTCCAAGGGGATGTGGGTTTTGAGATGGGGGTAACAAGTGACCTGTAGGCAAGTGGAGACAGCCCTCCTTGCGCATTTTGGTGGGCCCGAGCAAATAAATAGGTGGGGATGTGCGTGCCTAGAGGCGCAGCCCGCTGTCCTCGCAGGTGGAGGTGCTCCCCATTGCCTCCGCAGCTTCTGCTGGAGCCTCCCGCTACCTCCCGCTCCCACATCCCCGAGACGGGCCGGGGGGGACGACGACAACCCCGGGGTCCCCTCCTGGGCAGGGCAGGAGGTGGGGGAAGAGAGAAAGGAGGCGGGGAGCAGGGCCCGGAGCAGCCCTCCCGCCGCCGGGGCCCGACCTCCTTCTGGCGGCGGCGGCGGCGGCGGCGGGCGAGAGGCGGCGCCTGCGGGAGGAAGCGGGCGCGGAGCGGGGGGCCGGGCCGGGCCGGGCGGCGGTCCCCGGAGCTCCCCGGAGCTCCCCGGTTCTCCCCGGCGGTCCCCGGAGCTCCCTGGAGCTTCCCGGCTCTCCTTGGCGGCGCTCCCCGGAGGTCCCCTCACAGCGGTCCCCTCAGAGCTGCCCCCTCAGAGCTGCCCCCCGCCGCCCGCGCTCCCCTCAGAGCTGCCCCCTCAGAGCTGCCCCCTCAGAGCTGCCCCCTCAGAGCTGCCCCCTCAGAGCTGCCCCCCGCCGCCGGCAGCATGGGCGGCTCTGCCTCCAGCCTTCTGGACGAGAGCAAGTGCACCTACATCCGAGGTAGGGCTCTCTGCAAGGGCGGTAGGCGAAGCTGCCTCCCCAGCCCGCCTCCGCAGCGCTGTGGGGAGCGGGGGGAAGGCTGGCAGCCGGGCACCCGCGGGGAGGAAATCGCGAGTGGGGTGGGGTGGGGTGACCGGCGGGGTTGGGGCGCACGGTGGGGCTGCTTCGGAGAGGGGCAGTGGCCGGGGGGGGGGGGGGGGGGGGGGGGGTTGGAGCGGGCGGTTTTTAAAACGGCGATGCTTTAGAAATTCTCGATGAGTGTGTTGTAACGCGCCCAAGAGCCGGCGGTAAAATCTGCCGAGAGCGTGGAGAGATGCGACCCGAAAACCGCCCGTGTGACAGTGAGGTCCCAGTTCCCCAGCACCGGCAGCCGAAACTTTTAAGGCACCGGGTTTTGCCAGGGTAGATGGGATCGAGAGCATATGGTGCGATGTTTTGCAAAGCCAGCTGAAGGCAGTGGGGAAACTGCTAGGTGAATATTTAGGTAAACCATTTAGGCTTGTCTAAGAACGTTTTTTTAATCACATAAAAATGTTAGGAAAGAGAAAATGGAAAAAAAAAAAAAAGCTTTAAATTTATGCATGCTACTATTAAACTACAAAGTAAAAGAGCATAATTCTTTATTTTGGGGGGGTATTTTTGTTATCTGAGTAGTTAAAAGATGACATATATCTTCCTCTTGCCTGTCTACCTACACTCCTTACCGGTAAGGTAGCAGGTAAAGCATTTACAAAGCAAATTTTAAGGCTGGAGATTTACAAGAGAAATAAAAGTTTGCATGTGAAAAGAAATCCCTATTCCAGTATATTATGTAGTATGCATCTGAAGCCTGCGAGAGTCCTCGCTGCTGTGGACTGGGAGATCAAACTCGACGCTGGTGATTCAGACCGTGGGGTGACTCCTGGGTGGTGCCCGCAGCCGACTTTATCCTTTTATTTTGTTGCTTTGGGATTTCTTTGTGGTGTAGAGGGAGTGCAAATGTTGAACTGCTCCTCTGTTAGGACTCTTTCTGAAATCACAGTGGATCTTTCAAGGGATTCCCATAGTGGGAAGGATGTCCAAATATTAAATGGCCTTCACCCAAAAAGCAATGGGCAAAGCTGCTGGCCTCACACGCGGAGATTTTGCTGCAGTGTGCCCTCAAGTATTGTCATTTTCTTCTGCCCCGTTGAGGTCTCATCAGATCCATGAGGGTGCAAACCCCATGGATTTTTTTTTTTTCTCTTTGCACTCATCCCCATGCTGCAGCCTAAATTGCATTGCCACAGTACAGCATTTCAAGTTTTCTGGTCTCTGACTGAGTGAGGGCAGTTGAGAGCACCTGAAAAGGCTGATGTCTAATTACTGGAGGGAAAAAAAAAAAAAAAAAAAAAAAAAAAAAGAAACAGTAGGAGATTCAGGGAACTTAGTAGCTTCTTCACAGCTGTGCAGGAGGAAATCATGGAGGTCTTTGCCCTGGACATCATCTAGAATGGGGAACTCATGCCCGGAGGGTTGGGAAATCCATATCTGTTTGGACACGTGTGGAACTGGACTGGATGTATGCATCTGAGACTTCCCTGCAGCTCAGCGGGCGGTGCCTTTGCCTGGCTGAGAACTGCGCTGCTCTTCACATACATCTCTGGTTTGCCTAGCACATCTTTGCAGAGGCAAGTGATAAAACCATTGTGGGAAAAAAGGAATTAAAACATGGTGCTTATCCCCTGCCTCTGGTCTGCTGGTCTTGCTGTAAGTGAGAATCCCCCACTCTAAACTCTTGCTTTGAAAAATAATTAACGAGGCACTTGTACAGAGGCTGCCCATAAATTAGTACTTCCAAGAAGGTAAAGGAATCGGGAAGAACATCTTAAATTGAAATAGAGTGCGGTCCAGCTAGCTTGTCAAGCATACTGCTCATGTTGAGGCTGAAGCCTGCAAGATTCAGACCTTGCTCATCTGTTTTATATGTCTTGGTCTGATGTATTTCCAGAGCCAGTGCTGTGGCGAGGTCTCCTTGTACAAAGAGGAAGCAGTCTGAATCACTGATTATGTAGATTGAATAAGCAGCATATTTTTTTACCTGGCTTTGTAAAAGTTAGGTGGGTTTTACTGAGGGGCTGGGAGCTTTGGGGTTTTTTTATCCAAAGATGATGCAGGGAGTTCCTCGGTAAAAAGGGAAGGGAGATCCCTGCCTTTTGTCAGTAGAACTGTCAGTCCATAGTGCTTGAATGGGACGGCACTGGTGAGGGAGGTTGTGAGATGACGAGGATGCTGCCTTGCACATCTTATGTGGAGACTGAAGCCAGCGACAGTCTCCAAACTATGTGCATTTTGGTATGCTCACTCATACTGGCCCAAATATCAGTAGACTCAAGACAGGAAATCCTGAGTATTGCTTCAAGTGAGAGTTTGGTCTAGATCATCTCTAGTGCTCCCTCCCAACCAGCGTTTTGGTAAACAAATTTATACTTGCAATCTCTCTGTCCTGGTTTCACCACTAGGTTTTTGTACCTCCCTTAGCAAAGCTTGGTGGGTGGCTCGTGCCCCCATCTCCTTGCCTGTGCAGCAGAAGCTTGTTGTGATTGAACACTGGCATCCTTTGAGCCAGCTCCTGCCATGCTAACCCCAACCTGCAGCAGAGAAAATGATTTGGGTGCAATGTCAGCTTTGCAGCATGCTGGGCTGCTCCCTGCAAGGCGGGGGGGGGTGAGCCAAAATTGCGTGGGGCAGAGTTAAACATGACTGCTTGAATGTGTAGCAGGGTTGCTGCATGGTTGTTGTGATGGTGTAGTTTAATTTCTTCGTCTGAAGCTGCCATGTCCCTGCGTTGTAAAGCCTTGTAGTTTATTTAGACATCACTTAAGCTAAAATACAATAAAGGGAATGGAAATGAGGGACCGAGGGCTAAAGGGTGGATGGAGTTTTTGGCAATAAACTGGTACGGTTTCTTCATCAACATATGTACAAATCTAGAGGTTTTCTAATTTCCAAAAGTCTGTTTGCTCACATCATCTGTGGGATGAGAGGAGCACAAAACAAGGACAAAAACTACATGATTTGTAAAACTGTGTACAAAAAATATGTAAAAGCATACGTGTAGGTGTCTGTATAAACCAGCGAGAACATGGCCCTCAGCACGGGCACCCCCAGGTCAAGCCGGGGAGACACGTTGCTCTGTGCTGCTCCCCGTGGGTGAGCGAGCTCGAGCCTCGTCAGACCAGTTGGGGAAATGAATCCTGGAGAAAACCATGAAGGCATCCTACACAGAGTCTCGGTTACTGAATGCAAAGGCTGTGCTTTCCGCTTAAACCTACTTCAACTTCTGTGCTTTGAAGGAAGAAGTGGTAGTAATGAACCAGCCAAACGGCAAATCGTGGAGAGCTGGGTATACTTGGGCAGGGGGAAGTATCTTGAGCCATACTTGAAAGTCAGCTAATATAATTATTGATGTGATAATGTGCATTTCCTGCAGCAAATAATGCCTAAGAAGAGAATATATAATGCCGAGGTGTCATTTTTCAAGTGGTCTTCACGGTACGATACACATGAGGCTGTGTTTGAAATGGCAAGGGCAAGGATTGTCCTCGTGACGTTTGGATCAGGGGCAGGCACTTCATAAGCTGCCTAAAGACTTATTTAGGGATGGCAATGTTTTTCAAAACAATTCTTATACTCAGAACATCTCTGCATTAAGAAACTATATGTGCATACAGCATGAAGTTACGTTTTGGAAGCCACCACAGAATCTTCTGTCTTTTTCAAGTAGAAATTCATGAAAATTGGTTGTTATTGTGGGGTGAAATTGTGAATAAAATGTCAAGACTTGATATTCCTTACTCCTACCTGAAGGAAATTAATGTCATAGTAAAAGAATGGAAAACTGAGTCAGCAGGGATTCCTGTGAGTGCTGGGGACAGCTTGTGTGCACCGAGAGAAGGTGGCTGGAGGATTTTTAGGAGAGAGTGGGAGGCGATGTAGTGCCAGCAAGGAGGAGCAGGACAAAAAGCCAGACCACATGCATTGCAGCATTACTAGTCTTGAAACCTTAGCAGTTTCAAAGGCGCCTTCTGTTCTGTGTAGCATGAGCCTGTTTTTCTAACCATACCTATGGAAAAATATTTTTTTCCACTTATTTAAGATCCTTAAGATATTTTAAATCCACACACATTATAAGCAGTAAAATGATTTAAAGCCCCCTGAAATGAAAAGAAATTTTTATAGTAATTCCTCTCGGTTTTGGACTGAGCCCTTAAAAAAGAAGGAAAGACTTGTGGCAGAGATAATCCTTCTTTGTAAGGTTTTGGTGGGACTACACGGGAATTATTCAGGATGCGAGTGAAATAGATGGGAGTTTAAAAAATGGCAGTAATAATTAGGAGACTGGGAGTTGGTCATGTGAAAGGAGTTTATTAAAAAAATTCGTGCTTTCAGTTTAATGAAGCATGGGCTAAACTTGTGATGGTAGGCGTTCATTGCACGATCTCTCTAATGATGTTTAATGAGCGCTGCACCCAACAGGGAGCCGCAGAGGGCGGCAGTGGGGAGTTAGAGACTCAGGGTGCAACCATGAAATTGGGGAAAAAGATGAAAGTACCTGTTAAAACAACTTGGTAGTATGCCCTGAGAGATTGTGCCAGAGATTTCAAGATTGCTGATAGAAAATTTTTGCTTTGAGTCTTTAATATTAGAGAAGAGCAATCAAGGAAGCAGATCTCACAGCGGGGAGAAGGCAGAAATGGCCCCGAGACTCTTAATGATTTTCCATTTCTGCAATATCAGCAGCAGCAGAAGTAGGGGATCAAGCTCTGCTCTGTCACGTGTGGTCTGTTGGGACCAAATTTTTTTAAATTTGGGGAGGTGGAGAGATTTCAAGCACCCAGTGCCAGTAATTCAACAGGTACATCTTCAAAAGAATTTAGCCTACAAAAATCGGACTTCCCTGAAGGTTCTTTTTTTAATAAAGGTGCTCAGAGTGCTTGACCATATCCAATCTACCCATTTCCACAAGCAGTCCAGAGGAT